TTTTTTATTAGAGTTTTACACTACATCCTCAAATTCCCATCTGCCTGTATGTGTCCTCGGCTTCTCTTTGAACCAGCTGATTTTTTTCCTGACGTCTTCATTTGCGAGTTAGTATCAAACGAATCACCTTGCTATAAACACACACATGCAACACAAGCACAGCTACCTGTGAGAACCTCTTCTGCATCTCCTCAAAAATACTCTGCCTGCAACTCCAAAAAATACCCTGATGACAGAACAACAACAACACACTGTTCAAGAGAAGTCAAACCAGCCCCGAGCGCAAGGCTGAGCATCACGATCTGAGCCATGCTGATTTCTGATATCTGTTAAAGGTCAATACGCAAGGGAAGAATGGAGATCTAGAGAAAATGCGAAGATGCCACAGTAAAAGACACACAGATGTCAACACAAGCGGGGGCATTATCAGATTACAGGGTATTTTTATCAGGGATAATAATGTTAGGTGCTCACGTGAAACAGGTTGGCCTGTACTCGAGCGGCCGGTATTCTTTATGACAAGGTGCAGAGGGCTACAAGATCTTTATCTCAGTGAAGACTTTCAACGACGCAGGGATGGACGATGCATATCAAATATCCATATCTTTTTGATATATCATTTTTATTAAATATTGTAAAATCGCTAAAATATTTGTGATTAGTTTCACCCAAAATGTTTACAGAAGACTGTGGTATTTTACAGATTTTATGTGTGTATGTATTAGGGATGTAACGATTACCGGTTTGACGATAAATCATGATAAAATCCCCCACGGTTAGTATTACCGTTTCATCTTTTAATTATCATTAAAACCGTATTAGACTACACCGATTTGAACGACTCGCGATAAATAAATACTGTCCAGCATAAAGCACAGTTTTAAGTAACAATCTCACGTGCGCACAGCACACGGAGTACTTTCATTTTGAGTGAAAACAGGGTGGAAAAGCTGGGAGGTTTTAAAAGAGTGCTAAGGGAATTATACAAATGAATATATGAATTAATTAATTATATGAATGTACCTCCTGAAGGTTCTGACTGTCTTCAGAAACGACTCGATGGCATTTTGTTTTCATCTTCGCTCAATGTAATACATAAAGGAAGTGATCTTAATTGCAATACTGCTTTGTCCACGGAGGTTACGGAAACCGCTCTAATTCAGCTTTTCCATAAGCGCCACCTGCTGTCAGAGAGTGGATTTACAGAGACTTATATTTATATTCAGCATGTGTGCCGTTTCTGTCTGGCCAAAAACGGACCGAATTTGTATGCCCTGCTGTAAATTTTGACCGGTTGATGAAAAACAAGCTTATGTGGATTCTACACATTTAAACAATTCAGATAAGTTATCTAGAATTATTTATGGAGCAGATAAAATACATATAATCATGTATTAATCAATTATCATTTTGACTTACATAATTTCTTTATTTAAAGGTTAAAATGTGAGGTTTACCTTTTGATGAAACTTTTTTTTAAAGCTTTATTTGAATATTTACATTAGATATTTGAACATGCTATTAAACTGTTGTCAGTCAAGTTGTCATTTAAAATCCGAACATCATTGGTAATGTTATTGTTTTAG